GATCGCAACAGCGACGACGACGACGACAGCAGCAACAACCGCAACAACAGCAACAACAACATTAATCGCAACAACAACGACAACAACTATAGAGCCAGAGTAACAGCATTTTCGATGGATGAGTTTTTCATTTACGACAATTTTGGCCAAAGCAGCAACAACGTCAGCAACATAAACATCAACAACGACGACAACAACAGCAGTAACAATCACAACAATAACCACAACAACAACAACGACAACAACAACAACACCGGCAACAACAACAACAACAGCAACAGCAGCAGCAACAACAACAAAAACTAATGTTAAACATAAAGAGGCACCAACGACAACGCACTGTCACAGCAACCCATCAGCCACTCACTCATCAACACCATCGACCTACTCAACCATCCACCGACAAAAAAAACAAACTACTCGACCATCCACTGACTAAAAGAAAAAGTGTGGCAACAAAAATGTACCGACTAAAAGAAAAAACAACCAATTGATCTACCAGCTAACCAAGCTGCAACAAAATGATTGCCACCGGTAGCACCTCTACCATCTACTAGCCAATCGTTCTACAATCTAGCCAAGCTTTCAGCCAGCCAGCTAGCCAGCCTAACAGACAGGCAGGCAGCCAGCCAACCACCAAACCAATCACAATAGCATGCACCTGCTGGCAAATCAATGTTGCCTAACTTAAAAACAGCAACAAAAAGCAAAAACAGCAGCCTCAGCAGCAGCAACAACTGCAGCAACAACAACAACAATTGACAACAACATCAACAACAACAACAACGACCATCGAGGACAAGGCCGCAGAAATGGATGCCTTGCGTGCACAGCGAGCAATGGAGGTTCGACGCAAAACCCAGACCTAAGACCTCTTCGGGTCGTCTCGATCTGCTCAGATCAACGGTAGTGGTTGATTGGTTCGGTGGGTGTGGGTGGGTGTGGGTGGGTGTGGGTGGGTGTGGGTGGGTGTGGGTGGGTGTGGGTGGGTGTGGGTGGTTGGGTTGGTTGTTGGTGGGCCGTCGGTTGCTTGGGTGGGTGGGTTGATGGATGAGTTGAGGTAACTTGTGCTGATGGTGGTTGTTATGTTCATTGCTTCTGCTCTTACTGTTATCGTTCATGTCATCGTTATCATGATGATGATCGCCATCGTTATGATGCTCATATCATCATCGTTATGATGATCATTATGTTTCGTATGATTGAGGCGATTATTGTAGGAGTGGCAGCAATGAGACTCACACACTACATGGTCTTGTCATCTGGGTTCTGGCATTCGTGGTATCAAGCTGCAAGTGTGTACAATATGTTGTATCTATCATGTATTCTGCAGCCTTGAAAGACAGTTTGTGTCGTGGTTTCTTGACGTTGCTATTGGTGATGTTCTTGTTGCTGTTGCTGTTGCTGTTGGGCTGTTGCTGTTGCTGTTGTTGTTGTTGCTGTTGCCATTCTTCTTCTTCTTCTTGCTGTTCTGTAGTTGTTGCTATTCTTGTTGCTGTTGCTGTTGTTGTTGGTGTTTTTGCTTGCGCGTAGAAAGAAACGAAGCACAGGCGCGCAACGTAATGGGTAGAGCAATGAAGCAAATGCGGCCCAGTCCTAATCAACCTGCCGATCATCCAGCGACCAGTACAAGGGTAGGTATGACAAGTGTGTGCTTTTGTATTGCTCAAGCTGCGTATTCTCTTTCGCTTCATATGCCTCTCATCCTCCATGCTTGGCCTGATGCCCACCGACCTTCTGATCTGGACTGGCGGATGATTGCTTCCCGGAGTGGAGCGTGCAGCGCATCTTCAAAGAAGTGTCTCGATATGACGGGCGCTCTCTTACCATTGCCATTAAGGCGTGTGGGGGCACGAATCAGTGGAGCGCGGCGCTGAATTTGCTCCGAGGTGCTTTGGAGAGATATCGAGTTCGCGCCCCGTCCCAAGCGAGATACCGAGATATCGAAATATCGAGATATCGAGTTCGACCCCTCTCTGCCTCGGTTCACACGCCCGCTGGGCCCCCACACTGGCCATGTGGTGCATGCAAAGCAATGCGTATCAATGCGGCACAGTGCAGAGCAATTCAAACAAACCAGTGCAAACCAATGTAATGCAATGCGCGGTAACGCAACGCAGTGCAAATCGACGCAACGCAATGCAACACAACGTAAACAACCAGAACACTGGAATGCAAGGCGAGGCGCGGCAAATCGATGCAACGCAATGCAGAGCAATTCAACGCTATTCAAAACAGTGGAAACAATCCAAAACAAGGCAGCGCAATGCTGAGCAAAGCAAAGCAATTCAAAGTAACGCGCTGCAAAGCAAAGCTAAGCAACGCAAGGCGACGCAAAGCAATGCACGGCAATGCGCAGCCATGTAACGCGTTGCGACGCAATGCGCAGCGCTGCAGCGCAAAGCAATGCAACGCCAGGAAATGCAATGCAAACCAACCCCATTCAATGTAAAGCAGTGGCACGCAACGCAAATCAAACAATGCGAAACAGTGCGTTGCACTGCAACGCAATGCAGAGCAATACAAAATAACGCAACAGAGCAACTTAACGCAAATCAGTGATACGCAATGCGGAGTGCAAAGCACTGCATAACGGTGCAACTCATTGCAAAGCGATGCCAAGCAATGCGCAGCAACGCAACGCAATGCGAAGCAATGGAACGATGAGAAGCAGGGCGAACCATTGAATACCAGTGCAACGCGATGCACAGCAAGGTGCAGCAATGCGCAACCATGCAAATCAGTGCGAAGCAATGCAGAGCAATACGCGGCACTGCCAAGCAATGTTAAGCACAGCATGCAAAGTAATGCGCAGCAGTGCCAAACACTGTAATGCAATGCGATTGCAAAGCAGTGCGGCTGCTATGCAATACGATGCAATGCAATGCGATGTAATGCAAGCGATGCAATGCGGTGCAAAACGATGCAAGGCAAGGCAAAGCGATGTAAAGCACGACGTAGCAGCGCAACGCTATGCAAAGCAATGCAATGCAACACAATGCGAGGCAGTACGAAGCACGGCATAGCATTGCAACGCGGACCAGACGCTGTGCGGCGACGCGGCGGCGACGGGGCGGCGTCAAGGCGGCAACGGCGACCACGGAGCCGCCGGACCGCCACGCAGGCCTCGACGACGGGCAGCGACGAGGTGGCGACAGCGCGGCGAAGAGGCGGCGACGGCGACAACGGAGCTGCCAAACCGCCACGCGGGCCCGGACGACTCGCGGCGACGAGGCGGCGACGGGGCGGCGACGACGACCACGGAGCCGCCAGACCGCCACGCAGGCCAAGCACCTTAGACACGAAGTAAGAGCCCCCAATGGCAAACACTGTTTAAGGAATGTCTCAAACCCAAACTCCATCACTTCCAGTGGTGCTCCAAACAGGAATATAAACCAGGGGTTTCAGTAATTCATTTATTGGTAACAGTTCTTGTTTATCCAATGTCTTGCCGGATTTTGTTCCGAGTTAATACTGGAACGCGAATCCCTTTGTGGAAGGTTTTCCGCAGCCGCTGCCAGTTTTGGTCCTCCTCAGCCGGGCCGCGCCCCTGCCTTCACCGCAGCCCCGCTGCGTGGGTGGGCCCCTCGCCCCCTTTCTCCCCCCCTTGCCGCCACCCGCCCCCGCCCCCCCCCCCCCCCCCCCTGTTGCATGCGGGCTCTTTCGTGACCACGCGCCCTGGCGTCACTTGGACGCGCGTGCGGATTGCCTCAGCCGCGCTCCGACGGACAACGTGGAAGGTCCTCCGCCTATCATGGCGAAACTGATCTGTTGCAGCATGGCCCCGCAGGGAGCTCCACCGAAGGCCCCAGTGGCTGCGCTCGCATGGCACCACCGCGCCCATTTCGGCACAGCACCAGGGGGGAGCTCCGCCGAAGGCCCTGGTGGCTGCGCTCGCATGGCACCACCGCGCCCATGTCTGCACACCCGTTGCACGCTTCGTGGCCCCATAATTAGGGAGCTCTGCCGAAGGCCCCAGTGGCTGCGCTCGCATGGTACCTCCGCACCCATGTCGGCATAGCACCAAGGGGGAGCTCCGCCGAACGCCCCAGTTGCTGCGCTCGCATGGTACCACCGCGCCCATGTCGGCACACCCCTCGCACTCTTCGTGGCCCCACAATCAGGGAGCTCCGCCGAAGGCCCAAGTGGCTGCGCTCGCATGGCACCACCGCGCCCATGTCGGTACACACTTCACACGTTTCGTGGCACCAGGGGGAGCTTCGCCGAAGAACCCAGTCGCTACGTTCGCATGCCAGTGCCGCACCCATTTCGGCACACCTCTCACACGTGTGGCTGCCCCATCGGGAGCTCCACTCGCATGGCACAACCGCAACCAATTTGGCACACCCCTCACACGCTTCGTGGCCCTGGGAGCTCTGCCGAAGGTCCCAGTGGCTGCGCTCGCACGGCACCACCGCACCAACTTTCAGCATACTCTTCAAGCTTCGTGGCGCAATGGGGAGCTCAGCCAACGGCCCCAGCGGCTGCGCTCACATGCCACCACCGCAACTATTTCTGCAGGTCCTCACACGCTTCGTGGCCTCCGCTAAAAGCCCCAGTGGCTGCGCTCGCATGGCACCACCGTGCCAACTTAGGCGCACCCCTCAAACGCTTCGTGGCCCCATAAGGAGCTCCATCTAAGGCCCCATTGGCGATCCTCGCATGTTGGCACATCCCTCGCACTTTCAGTGGCCCCAGAGGGAGCTCCGCCTAAGGCGCCAATGGGTGCGGCCACATGCGATTCCCCGCCCATGTCGCACACCCCTCAGGCGCCTCGTGGCCCCTTAGGCCTCAGGGAGCTCTACCGAAGACCATATTTGCAACTGCGGTACTCACAGCTGCATGTGGTTGTGTCCCTCGCCAGGATATTGTTGCTTGTCTGCTTGTTTGCCTGTGTGTAATTTGCACGTTGAATTAGGACAGCCTTAATCGCCAACCGAAGTCCATGACAGGTTGCTGCCTCACCGCCGGCGCGCGCTGCGCCCCCGAGGTCCTGCATCATGGCGCTGCCGGCGACGGCCACGGCGCAGCCTGGCGCTCGGAGAGTGCCGGCGGGTCGTGCCTCCCGCCAGGGGTGCTCGCGGCCCGGTTCGAGCCCGCTCCGACCCGTCCAAGACTTCGGCTCCGAACTCGATTAGGGGGGCCACATGCGAACCCTACCCATACCCCCCACGATTTTTGAGGGGGAGGGTGGGGTTCGCATGTGGCCCCCCATCGATCCGACCCGATCCGACGCGAGCCGATGCCCTCCCTGGCCTGCGGGGGCGGGGCCAGGCCGAGCTCCGAGCGACCCTGGGCCTCCTCGCCGACGTCGGGAGCTCCGAGCCGAGGTGCCGTGGAGGCCCGTGCCAATCGGGTCGGGCGAAAGGGGGGGATTGGGAAAGGGGGGGTTACGAAATTTGCTGCGTGCAGCTGATTTCGGCCTCACCGAGGGGCCCATTCCTCGATACATGGCCGCCTCCGGCGCCGGGAGGCGCCGGGAAAATCAGCTACGTGAGCTCATTCTCAAGCCCCCCCTTTGCTATCCCCCCCTTTCGCCCGACCCGAGCCAAGAAGCACACCCTGCTTGCCTCCGGGGTGCCCCGGGTTTAGCTTGGGCTCCGCTGGCTTTGCCATGGACAGCGCGACGTTCCCACACCAGAACTCTCACGAGGGGAAAAAGCACAGACACAATTCATAGCGATCCTCAGGAAGTATGGGAAACTGTGGGAAGTGGGGGGGAAGACACAAACCCAGAAAATGTGGGGAAATATTGGGAATCCTGTTATTTGTGTGTATTTATTTGTGTGTCCCAGGGCCCCTTCAAAATACGTGGACGTCCTGGGGGCTCTGGGTTGGGTTTCTCGTGGGAGGTCTCGTGTGGACTGGCCTGCGGGGGCCGGGCTCTGGCTGGGATCCGTGCGATTCTCCGCGCCACCTGTCCTCGGGAGCGCTCCGAGGGCCCGAGCGGCCGAGGCGGCCCGGCGTGGCGCGCTGCGAGGAGCGGGAGCCTCGAGAGACGGGGGTCTCGATTCGATGCAAACGGGGGTCGGCCGGAGCGCCCGATCCTTGCAGGATCCTGCAGGGCCAGGGCCGCAGCGGCCCGGGCGCGGGTGCAGGATCCTGCAGGATCTTGCAGGCTACCCTTCGCTCACCGCCCACCAAACCACCCCAACCCAACCCGAAGGCCTCAATCTGCCCTCCATTTCCAGGGGGGGGGGGGTCGGGGAACATTGGAAAAAACATGGAACCCGTACCCCCCCCTAACCCGAAATTCGGGTCAGATTCGGGTCTTCGGGTTGGGTTGGAGTGGTCTGGTAGGCAGTCATTCGCACTGCACCCGGGCTCGGGTGCAGATTTTCTCATAACCCAGACCCCCTCGAGCGTAGGGGAAGGACGAGGAGGAGGAGGAGGAGGAGGAGGAGGAGGAGGAGGAGGAGGAGGAGGAGGAGGAGGAGGAGGGGAGAAGGAGGAGGGGGAGGGGAGAAGGAGGAGGAGGA